GGCCCGCGGCACGCCTGCGCACGACCAGCGCTCGGCAGCGACTGTGGGCTGCTGTATGCCCGACACATGCGACGTCCAGGGCCGATAAAACTCCGGACGCACAACACCATACAACCAGTTCCAGATAAGGTTTTTAAGGCTCAAAAATAAGTTTTAAAAGTAGATTTTTGGGCTCAAACACGAGGCTCAACACAACAACACGAAGTCCAAATTTTTAAGGTACTTTCAAGGCAATTTTAGGACATTTTCAAGGCATTCAACAACACAAATATTTTGACGCTAAAAGGCTCAAATTTTATAAAAATGACAAAGCATAAAACGCATCGATCAAGGCCAACATCTCAAGGCAATAACAATCGGGTTCTCAAGGTCTTAAAGGCTAAACACCTTTGGCTCTATAGGCTTGATTTTTCACACTTCAAAGCATCAAAATTCACATTGCTCATGGCGCAATTGAGAGTCCATACATTTTAAACGTTCACATAACCCTTGAATTTTATGATAAATTCACAAGATTTCAAAAGATCTAAAACTTTACAAGAACCTTAAGAATTTTCTCAAATTCCCTTTGAACAATTTAAAAGATCATATTGGATTTAATACCTCTCTTCTTGAATCTACAAGCAAGGAGAAATGATAGATCGGATTTGAAGGATTCGACAATCTCACGTGCTCGCTACTTCGCTCGCAGGTCTCCTTGGCGGCTCTCGGCTACTCGCTCACGGACGGCCTCGCATAAGGGGTCGTGTGGATCTCCTCTATGAGGCACGGCGTGCAGATAGGGTGATGGTGATCGCGTGTCCCGATAACTTGGTTTGTCCAGACGTTGCACGCGAACGGCCCTTTCTCGATGAACGACGTGAAGTTCTCAGAGGTTTCCTTACCTTGACGTCAATTTGAGATAGCTCGGAAGGAATGTCCTTGCCAAATTTGGACTTTTGTCGAACGATGCGGTGAAATGCCCTTCACAAGGGTTTTACGCTAAAAATCAAAGAGAAATCTAACGCAAGAAGTTGAAAAAAGTTCGTTTTTTTATTAATAAAACGATGATGAAAAATGCTCTAGTAACATGAGTATTTAAAGAGATTAACTTAACCTAGTCCTAATTGAAATAAACTTCTAATCATAAGGAAAGTAAATAACTAGAATCCTAAAATATCCAAATTAATGCACTCCTAAATAATCTAACAATATTAATAAATCATGTGGGAAAATAAGCTTTGTAACTTCTAGAAGAAATCCCAACTTGGTCATAGAGTAACCCTAGCCGCCGTGTTCAATCCGCGTGCGCGCGTCTTCTATACGCGCGACATTCTCGCGTGGCTCCAATCGCCGACCATTCTCGCACGTGTCTTCACACGTGCTTGCATGCCCGCACGCCCCCGCCTCGTTCGCGGTCTGCCTGTGCGTGTCATTCCCGCACGCGTCGTCCTACGTGCCACCACCCGCATCAATCGTGTTAGCCTCCGCAGCCTGCCGAGCCAATCCCTTGCGGGCATGATAAGCCCGACTTGACGCGTTCTTTAATCTTCTAGCCACATCTTCATCATTCCCGTCCCCTTCAAGTGTTTCCTTGTCCTCAAGGATGAAAGACGAAAATAGCTAGCGCATCTCGCTTAAGTTCTCCCATGTCGCTTCTTCTTCCGGCAAGTCATCCCATGCAACTAACACTTCCCAAAAGAATCGTCGGGCCTTCTTCACTTCACGATAGCTTAACAATCGACTTGGGCTAACGATGATTTGCCCATCTGGTTCCGTGGTGGGTAGTCGATCACTCAACTTGTCCACCTCACCTAAACTCCTCTACAGTTGTGACACATGGATCACCGGGTTGATTTGTGATTCCTTTGGCAGCTCGAGTCGATAAGCCACCTTGCCAACTCGCTTAAGCACTTGATAATGCCCATAGTATCAGACCCCGATCTTGGACGCGGTCCTTTGCGTGACCGTGCATTGCCGAAAGGGTCGCAACTTCAAATAGACCCAATCACCTGGTTCAAAACTTTTTTCGCGTCGTCCCTTGTCGTGGGATGACTTCATGCGATTAATGGACCTGTCTAAATTTTTCTTCAACTCTCAAATCATGAAGTCTCACTCCATGAGCTCGCGTTCAACCTCATCGTTCACTAAAATCCCCATCGAATTGCTCATGAGCGTAGGCGGCTTACACCCGTACAACAACTCGAATAGCGTGGACTTGGTCGAGCTATGATATACCGTGTTGTACCAATACTCGGCCCAAGGTAGAAAATCCTCCCATTTCTTCGAAATTGATTAATATAGCACCTTAGATACTGCTCTAGCGTTCAGTTCGTCACCTCAGTTTGGCCATCGATTTGCGGATGATTGGTCGAACTCATGACTTGCATTTTAAAAAATTCCGACCAAAAACTGCTCATAAAGATACGATCTCGATCAGAAACAATCGACCGAGGAACCCCGTGAAGTTTCATCACGTACTCCACAAATAATCACGCGATCGATCTCACCGTGTATGGGTGCGTCAACGGGACAAAGTGGGCGTACTGCGTCAATCGATCTACCATGACCATTACTCCATTAAACTTGTTAGACATTGGCAGCCCTTCTATGAAATCCATCGTGATGTCTTCCCAAATACGCTCGGGAACAGGTAAGGGCTATAGGAACCCACTTGGCCGGCGCGAGTCCGCCTTAACCCGCTGGCACTCATCGCACTGCGCCACGTAATCTCGTACTTCACCTTGCTGTCCTGGTCAATTGAACATGTTGGACAGCCTCATCCAAGTGTGGTAAACCCCTGAATGTCCCCCGAATTTTGAGTTGTAAAAATGCCTTAGAATCAATTCCCGTAGTTACCTTTCGTTCAGCACGTACACTTTTCCTCGATATAATAGTAGTCCGTCGTGGTTGTCGTATTCGGCGGCCGCTGCATCCTTGGCCTCCATCTTTCGACGTACGTCCTGGCAGAATGTGTCTCGGTTTTGAGCATCTCTCAAATCATCCCATAGGGCCCAAGTTGACCCCGAATTTGCCTCCAACTCAGCCACATCCGTTCGGCGCGAGAGCGCATCGACAACTGCGTTTTGTCTCCCCGGCCAATAGACTATCTCGAAGTCGAACCTCATTAGCTTCGAGACGAACTTCTGCTGCTTCGGGGTAACAATCCTTTACTCTAGTAGATGTTCCAGTGGTTGCTGGTCAGTCACGATCCGAAAGCGTCGCCACAAAAGATAGAGCCTCCAACACCAAATCGCTTCTACGACCTCGAGCATGTCTTTTACGTAGACCGACAATGCAAGTCACATGCTCCCGAGCGCCTTGCTAATGTAAGCAAATGGCCGTCCTTCCATAATTAGAACTTCCCTTATTCCAATGTTGCTTGTGTCGGTATGAACTTCGAACAGTACGTCGAATTTGGGCATTGCTAGTACGGGCATCGTGGTCATCGCGCACCTGAGTTTCTCGAACGCCTCTTTGCTGACCTCGGTCCATTTGATCCCACATTTCTTGGTCATATTAGTTAGAGGTTTTACGATCGACCCATAGTCTTTGACGAACTTCCCGTAGTACCCGGCCAGGCCCAAAAATCCTCGCAATTATGTCAAGCTTGTCGGCTTTGGCCAATCTACCATGGTCTCGATCTTCCGCGGATCGACCTTCATTCCCTCATAGGATACAAAATAGCCCAAATACTCAACCGACTCCTACCCGAATGAACACTTGGATGGCTTTATGTGGAAAGAGTTTTTAGCCAATATCTCCAGGACAATTCGTAAGTGCCCGATGTGATCAGGGCAACTCTTCGAGTATATCAAGATGTCGTCGAAGAAGACCAACACAAATTTGTTCAAACATTCGTAGAAAATTGAGTTCATCGCAAATGGAAAAGTGGACAAGGCATTGCAAAGTATAAAGGGAATCACCAAGTACTCGTAGTGCTCTTGATGCGTCCGAAAAGTCATCTTTGGGATATCCGATTCTGCCAGTCGGATTTGGTGGTACCTGGCTCTCAAGTCCAATTTAGAAAAATATCGCGACCCTCTCAACTCGTCCAACATGTCGTTGATACTAGGGATGGGAAATCGGTCTTTAATAGTTGCAGCGTTTAAGGCCCAATAATCAGTACAGAATCACCACGTGCCATCCTTTTTCTTCACGAGAAGTACCAACGACGAGAACGGGCTCGTGCTCTGTCGAATTAGCCCAGACTCGAGCATCTCTCCCACTTGCTTTTCGATCTCCGCCTTCTGGAAGTGTGCACAGCAGTAAAGGTGTACATGGACTGCTCGCCCTTTATCGACGAGGGTGATGCGATGGTCAAACGGTCGAAGTGATCTAATAGCTCGCAGACCTCCTCTTGCTGTGGTGTTGGTTTCCCCCTCTCCACATATTTTCCATACTTTTCAACACAACCTACTTGATCTCTCCATTTTTGCTTGCTTTTAATGTGACCCGGTGATTACCCGTGTCGAACTTCCTGACTCCTTCTCTATAACTTGTTGTCCCGTCGCCAAGTCCTTCCAGCCATTGAACACTTAGTACCCCGTTCGGTCCTACCAAAGGTAAGGCATATAAGTCTGCTTTCACCGTTACGTCTTGAAATTTGATGGGTACACCTAGGTAGGACTCAGAACATTGCAGGCGCTCTCCATTAGCTACTCGTACCTTAAATGGCTCGACCTTGGTAGTAGACAACTTCAGTTTGAGGGATAACGAGGCGTTTATAAAATTGTGTGACGACCCATTATCCACGAGCACCACAAAGCGCCGATCACAAACCCATTTGAGTAACTGCAAGGTCCTTGGCCCTTTAGTACCGGCCATGGCGTGAACCGAGATCTCCGTCTCATCCTCATGTATCTCGACCTCAACATCTTCGAGTTCGATTTGTCAAGGGTTAGTTCGTCATCGTCAGAGTCAACCACTTGAATCAAATAAGCTTGCTTGCACTTATGCCCTGGCATGAATCTTTCTTCGCATTTGAAACATAGGCCTTTCTCATGTCTCCGCCGCATCTTCTCAAATGATACATTCCTTACCCCCGGTTGTCGGGGCCTGAAATTGTTTAATGGTCCTCCACTCGTGCTCCAGTTGATACTTGGCGTGCTTAGAATAACTCGGCGTGGTTCAGTGTAGCACACGTCATTTCGTCGGCCCTTCGTGTTGTGGCCAGGTGATTGTCTCTCTTCCGGGCCACCTTGATGAAGATCGCGTGTCCCGATTGCCGATAAGCCACAAACCAGTGCCTTGAATCGCCGATAGGTGTCTCGAGGTTTGCACAACCGCACCCCTTGAAACGATAAAATTGCAAAAGAAATCGAAAGGATATCTAAGGCAAAGTGTTTGAACAAAAGTTCGGTTTTTCTATTAATTTCTGAATGAATATTTCGAATGACAAGGGGCCTATTTATAGGTGCCAAACTAAGTCTATTCCTAATCTAAGAAGAACTCTTAATGCTTGGAAATAAATAAAGTCCTAAGGAACTAAATCACTAATTAAAGCAATAAAATATTAAAGTCCTAATCAATCTAGAAATCATAATAGAATAAGGAAACCACATATCTAAGGGATCTTAGGAAGTCTTGACTTGCACCCCAAGCCAAATATCCCAACCCTAATCTCGCCGCCTCACGCCCCGACCGCCCGCGCGCCTTGCCTTAGTCCTTGAGGACTAAGGTCGCGTCGCCCCTCAGCGCGCGTGTCTGCCCGCTACGCGCATCGCTCGCGCACGCGTCCTCGGCGAACTCCTCGGGCGCGTCCTCGACACCTGCCGCGCCACTGCTTCCCGTCACGCACTGGCCCATCGTATCCGTCGCGGGCGCGTCATTCCTCCTCGCGGCGTCACTTTGCTCGCGCACCAGTCGCGCGCTTCCACCCGCCGGACCCTCTTTGCTCGCCTCGCATGTCTCACACGCGATGGCCTGTGTTTCCCCCGTCTGCCGCGCTAGCCTCTTGCGCGCGTGATAGGCCCGGCTTGAGGCATTCCTGAGCTGCCTAGCCACATCCGCATCATTCCCGTCCCCTTCAAGCGCTTCCTTGTCCTCAAGGATGAAATCAGGGAACTGTTCGCGCATCTCATCTACATCCTCCCACGTAGCCTCCTCCGATGGCAATTCTTCCCACTCAACTAACACCTCCCAACGGTAGCGCCCCGCCTTCCTTACTTGGCGATACTCTATCGCACGGCTAGGCCTCACAATGGCTCGCCCATCCGTGGCCGTCGCGGGAAGCTCTTCGCACCACTTGTGTGCCTCTCCTAGACTTCTTTTGAGCTGCGAGATGTGTATGACTGGATGGATGTGCGAACTCTCCGGTAACTCTAGGCGATAAGCTACTTGTCCTATGCGCTTTAAAATTTGGTACGGACCGTAATAGCGTACCCCGAGTTTCGTCGCAGCCCTTTGCGCCGTCGTTCGCTGCCTAAAGGGTCGCAGCTTCAAATAGACATACTCGCCTGGCTCAAAACTCTCTTCGCGCCTTTTGCCATCATGAAAGGTTTTTATGCGGTTAATCGACCCCTCGAGAGTTCTCTTCAGTTCTCGTAACATTAAGTCTCTCTCCTCAAGTTCTCGCCCCACTTCATCGTTGATAGCAACTCCTTCCGAATAATTTACGAGTGTAGGTGGTTTGCGCCCGTACACCAACTCGAATGGTGTAGCCTTGGTCGACTCGTGGTAAGTGGTGTTGTACCAATACTCGGCCCATGGTAGAAAGCTTTCCCACTTCTTCGGAAATTGGCGCACATAGCACCGCAAGTATTGCTCTAGCGTGCGGTTGGTTACCTCGGTCTGGCCATCCGTCTGCGGGTGATAGGCAGAACTTATTGAGAGCTTGGTCCCTTGGAGCTTAAAGAACTCAGACCAAAAGCTACTCATGAAAATCCGGTCACGATCAGAGACAATCGAGCGTGGCACCCCATGCAACTTCATGACGTACTCAATGAAGAGCTTGGCGATAGACTTTGCCGTGTAGGGATGCGTGATCGGTATGAAGTGCGCGTACTTTGTCAGTCGATCGACCACGACCATGACCCCATTGAACCCCTTTAGAGATAGGCAGCGCCTCGATAAAGTCCATGGTGATGTCCTCCCAAATATTCTCGGGCACGGGTAAAGGCTGCAATAGACCACTCGGTCGCCGTGCGTCAGCCTTAGGCGCTGGCACTCGTCGCAATGCGCGACATACTCCTGAACTGAGCCTTGCTGCCCTGGCCAAAAGAAGGTATTGGCCATTCTCATCCAAGTACGATAGAATCCCGAGTGCCCGCCAATCTTAGAATCGTGGAAGTGTTGCAAAATTTGCTCGCGGAGTTGCCCACTATCCGGGACAAACACTCGGCCTCGATGTAGCACGAGACCATTATGCAGCTCGTAATCAGCAACGGCCGCATCTCCAGCCTCTATAGCTCGCAGTAAGTCTTGACATTGGGTGTCGCCTTCTTGCGCCCTCCTTATCTCCTCCCATATCGCCCATGTTGGCCCGGTTATGGCTTCGAGCTCAGCGACGTCCGTCCGTCTCGATAGGGCGTCGGCCACAGTGTTTTGTCGACCCGGCCTGTACACTATCTCGAAGTCGAAGCCCATAAGCTTTGAGACAAACTTTTGTTGTTCGGGCGTTACGATCCTTTGCTCGAGTAAGTGTTTGAGCGGTTGTTGATCGGTCACGATCCGAAAGCGCCGCCCTAAAAGATAGGGCCTCCAACATCGCACTGCCTCGACGACTGCGAGCATCTCCTTCACATACACGGACAATCCGAGTCGGGTCGTGCTAAGGGCCTTGCTAAGGAAGGCCAAGGGACGTCCTTCCTGGACTAGCACCGCACCAATGCCCACATCGCTCACGTCCGTGTGCACTTCAAACAACACCTCGAACCTTGGCATGGCTAGAACAGGCGTCGATGTCATTGCACCCTTAAGTTTCTCGAATGCAGCCTCACTCGCCACGGTCCACTTGAATCCGCCCTTCTTGGTCATCTCGGTTAATGGTTTGGCAATGGACCCATAGTCCTTCACGAACTTCCGATAGTAACCTGTGAGCCCTAGGAAACCCCTTAACTGCGTCAGGCTGGTTGGTTTCGGCCAGTCGACCATAGCCTCAATTTTCCTTGGGTTGAGCTTCACACCATCATGTGAAATAAAGTGACCAAGGTATTCGACCATCTCTTGTCCAAACGAGCACTTGGACGGCTTAATGTAGAACGAGTTAGCCTCCAAGATCTTAAGTACCACACGTAAGTGCCCTAAGTGCTCGTCCCATGTCTTTGAGTAGACTAGAATGTCGTCGAAGAATACCAAGACGAATTTACGCAGATGGTCCTTGAAGATGGAGTTCATAGCAAACTGGAAGGTGGATGGGGCGTTGCATAGCCCAAATGGCATCACCAAATACTCGTAGTGTCCTTTGTGTGTACGAAAGGCCGTCTTTGGGATATCAGCCTTGTGTAGCCGGATCTGATGGTACCCGGCCCTTAAGTCGAGCTTAGAGAAATAACGGGATCCACCTAGCTCGTCGAGC